CTAATCGCCTACTTTCATTTGATAAGACACGGACCGAATAAAAAGAGGTGGGAGGGACATAAAGGCACATAAACGGTCCGTTGCCTAGCAAAGACAGCAAGGCGATCTCACCAGAGATGGACAAACATAGACAGACAGGTTATACCATAAGCATCCCTTTATTTTCCAAAATAAGGAAAATACGCTAAAAAGAAGACTGTTTATTGTCATATCCAGGCCTACACAGAGGAGGGGATAGCAGGGTCATTTGGCCCAGGCGTTTCGCTTAGGGGGCCCCAAATATAATCTTACTTAAAAGTAAAGTTATCCTTGTGCTTAACTAATAAAGCATCATGCTATGAAGGCGTATGGGGGAGTGGATGTATAGAGCCAAGTTTTCTTGACCTCAGCACTAGTTGGAAGTGAGTCGTCAGCTTCACACCCCGGCCGTTTTACCTCCGGGGAAAGAGCCCACGGTACCCATTATATAGGCAGCTGGGTGGGCCCCAGAGCCGGTCTGGACGACGGGGAGAAGAGGAAATTCTTGACCTTACCGGGACTCGAAATCTGACCCTTCAGTCGTCCAGTCCGTAGACAGGCGCTTAGTTTTAAAAAGTTATAAAAAGGGAGCGCCATGTTAGGCGGGTCCCTGTCACCACGGCATGGCGCGTCCTCAGGTTGCGGATTGAGACGCCCTCCAGGTTTGGAGAGAAGCTGCGAATATACTGAATAAGCAGTCGCGGATAGCCGACAAGGGGTGGTCCTCCAGATTGGGGGTTGAGCGTGGGGCTAACAACTACAAACCCTAAAAATTAACCTTGTTACGAAACTTCTAAAGAAGCCTCAGACCTGGACGGATCCTCTGGATAAACGACCTCGGCTAAAGAAAACGGACATGAGATTTGGTACATGGAACGTCAGAAGTTTATATAGGGCAGGTTCGCTCAGGGCAGTGGCAGAAGAAATCTCAAAATATACAAATTATAAATTATAAATCACTCCGTCCAATGTGACCTGTACGTTTTTTACTACATAAAAACATAACACCCTTACATGTTTCGGTCTCTGTGGACCATCTTCAGAGGGCAAACATCACTACAAATAGGAAACCACTATCACATAATTTGTTTACACGCAAAGTATGTACACTTATATGTTACAACACACAGTACACAGAATAGAACAATTTCACAAACACAGCAGTTTCCTGGGAATGTAAGTTTTAAAAATGTATAAAATTCCTTGATGCTAATTAAAAGTTTTTTAGATTGTCNTTTCGTACATAAGAGAATCGTGTCAGCAGTTAAGAGGGTAGAATTCGTTAGTGATAGGATATCATATATAATACTAAAAGGTCGCTGGTGTGATATCATTGTTATGAATGTTCACGCCCCAACAGAAGATAAATTGATGAAATAGAGGATAGATTGTATGAAGAACTAGAACATGTATTTGATAAATTCCTTAAATACCCTATGAAAATTTTGTTACGAGATTTCAAAGCCAAAGTAGGGATGGAAGACATTTTCAAACAAACGGTTGGGAATGAGAGTTTGCATGAAATTAGTAATGATAATGGAGTTTGAGTAGTAAACACTGCGAAATCAAAAAGTCTTACTGTCAAAAGTACAACGTTCCCACATCGTAACATCCATAAATTTACTAGGACATCTCCTGATGGGAAGATACACAATAAAATCAACCACATTTTGATAGATAGGAGACGGCACTCAAGTATACCTGATGTCCGATCATTAAGGCAGCAGATTGTGATACTGACCACTACCTGGTGGTGGCAAATGTTAGGGAAAGACTGGCAGTGAGCAAACAAACAACACACAGAGTTCATATGGAGAGGTTAAATCCCAAGAAATTAAGTGAGGTAGAGGGTAAAGAGCAGTATTGTGTTGAAATCAAAAACAGGTTCGCGGCTTTGGAAAACTTGGACACTGAGTGGATGTTAATGAAGCTTAGGAAACTATTGGAGAATATATAAAAATTCCCGCCAAGGAGAGTCTAGGTTACTATGAACTAAAGAAGCATAAGCCATGGTTAGATGAAGGATGCTCAAAATTATTAGATCAAAGAAAGCAGGCCAAATTGCAATGGTTACAGGATCCAATCAAGTTAAATGGGGATAATCTGAACAATACAGGACGCGAAACCAGCAGGCATTTCAGGTACAAAAAGAGGAAACATCTGAAAGACAAAATTGATGAGCTTGCAATGAACAGTAAGAATAAGAGCATTAGAGACCTGTATAAGGGAATAAATGACTTCAAGAGAGGTTATCAGCCTAGCAGTAACTTAGTGAAGGATGAGAATGGTGATCTGCTTGCAGATTCCCACAACATTTTGAATAGGTGGAGGAACTACTTCTCCCAGTTATTGAATGTACATAGGGTCAGTGATGTTAGGCAGACAGAAGTCCATACAGCTGAGCCGTTAGTACCCGATCCTAGCCCTTTTGAGGTTGAAAGTGCTATTGCAAAATTGAAACGGTACAAATCGCCAGGTAGTGGTCAAATTCCGGCAGAACTTATTCAAGCAGGAGGCGAAATATTACGTTCTAAGATCCATAAGCTAATTACTTCTATTTGGCATAAGGAAAACTTGCCTGATCAGTGGAGGGAGTAAATTATTGTACAAGTTCACAAGACGAGTGATAAAACTGAATGTAATAATTATCGAGGGATATCACTGCTATCAACTTCATACAAAATTTTATCCCAATATTTTTCTCTCAAGGTTAAGTCCATATATAGATGAAATTATTGTGGATCATCAATGTAGGTTTCAACATAAAAGATCAACTACAGATCAGATCTTTTTCATTCGTCAGATATTGGAGAAAAAATGGGAGTACGATGAGACAGTACATCAGCTATTCACAGACGTCAAGAAAGCCTATGATTCAGTTAGGAGGGAAGTACTGTACAATATTCTAATATAGTTTGGGATACCCATGAAACCTGTTAGGTTAATTAAAATGTGTTTAAACGAAACTTATAGTAAAGTTCGTGTAGGTAAACATTTGTCTGATAAATTTCCTATCCAGAATGGTCTAAAACAAGGAGATGCTTTATTGCCACTCCTTTTCAACTTTGCCTTAGAATATGCCATTAGGAAGGTCCAGGGAAGCCAGGTGGGACT